TAGAAAAGATCAAAGATGAAATTCCAAATCAGATTCTACAAACTACAAACCAGAGACTTTCTTTACTCTGACAAATGATCTCCCTGTAACAAAGTCGTGAGAGGAGAGGGAAGAGTTTATTGAAAATGATCTCGCTTCATTCCATTGTACAACTCTTCACAGTGTCATACAGAGACTGAAAGTCTTCAATAACTAGAGCCATGTTCCAGGTACACGACTCTGGGACCTTGGCTTGGTTTGACACACAGGTGTTAAGGAAGTGAAAAATGTTGTTGAAAATACCTTTCCTGTGAAATCTCTGTTAAGATCCTGGTCTGTTCATGGTATTTAAAGGCTCTGTAGATTGATGGAGCTGATGGAGTCAGACTGAAGATTAATTGGAGTAATTAATGTTCTTGCTAAAGACACATTGTTGAAATTAATCTGCTATCTGTACCTTGTCTTTCTACAGTGGCACTCTGGTTGCTTTCCTGGGTGATCACAATATTTACGGGATTGAGGGACGTGAGCAAATCATTCCTGTGGAAAGGATCATCATTCACCCAAGCTGGACTAACAACCTTGCTGCTGGGTACGTCTCACACTGTGGCCCTTTATGATGAATACTGTAGCTTGTGGATGAGTGAAGATGGTTTAGCAATTGTTGTAAAACAATTCCGTTGTACAGAATAATAAAGAAAGAGCAGATGCATATGATGCTTAGTTTAAGTGTAATTAGTAACAGGATTCAGACAGGGGATGGGGGATTCTGCACCAGACAGCATGACTGTCTGCTGCGTCGGTCCCTCTGTGTCACTGAGTGCTGCAGCTGGTCCCACCTGTTTCAATCTCTTCAAAGAGTGTGCTGCTGATTAATAATAATTGAAAGCAAGTAACAAATGGAAACACAAATAAAACCTGCTATTACCCTGTACTTGACAATTTGAATGAAAGATCATGAAAGATGTTCATATGATAACCTAGTGTATCTGTACAGAGTTTTCCTGAACTGAACTGGTCTCCTCCTGTGTTCCCTGTGCTGTGTGCAGATATGACATCGCTTTGCTCAAACTGAGTCAGAATGCCGTCCTGAACTCCTACGTCGCTGTGGCATCACTGCCCAGCAGTGGCGCCATCCTTCCCAACAACAACTTCTGCTACGTCACTGGCTGGGGAAGCACCAGCAGTAAGTTTGTAACAAGAAGTCTTCCAATATAAATTCTGGTTTAAATTAAGGGGAAAGTGGGTAAAATAAAATATATTGATGCAACAATGTTCTAGAACAGGAAAATCGTTTGTATAAATTATTTCTTTTCGCTACTGCTTTTATAATCATTTTTGGAAAATAAAATCTTGCTTCAGAGTATCATCATCATCTATATCTTATTGAATTTCGAGATGATGAGTTCTCAGTTGGTGACGTTCTGTATGTTGTTTACAGCCTACGGCCAGCTGTCGGCCACCCTCCAGCAGGGCTACCTGCCCATTGTGAGCTACGCCACCTGCTCCAGCAGCGCCTGGTGGGGATCCACTGTTAAGACCACCATGGTCTGCGCTGGTGGAGATGGGTACAGAGCAGCCTGTTACGTAAGTATTCTCTACAGATCTGTCACTTTCATCATCTGTCTTTTCATTTAGCAACTCAGCCTTCTTGAGTACTAAAACCCTCTTGTTGCCATCAAGATTGCAGATATTTAGGAAAAAGTCTTCACTACTGCACTTGGAAAACAATTACTTTGCTCAGGAAGTCAAAGATATCTCAATTCATTTCTTTATATGACTGTCCTGTGATAAGCAGTGCAGTTTGTATATAATTGTAATGGCCCATTCTCAGTGTTAAACTTACAATCACACTGTGCTCTGTCTCCTGAAGGGTGATGGTGGAGGAGCCCTGAACTGCTACACAAATGGAAGATATGAGGTTCATGGAATTTCTACCTTCATGTCTTCACTGGGCTGCAATGTTTACCAGAAGCCCAGTGTCTTCACCCGCGTCTCAGCCTACACTAGCTGGATCAGCAATGTGAGTAACCATAAAATGTTGCATTTTACAAGACAAGGTGTTCTCTTTATCCTCAGTATTTTCATATTAAAGCAGAATATAGTTCTTTAGCTGAAAGATCAGTACACTTAAGGGCGTAGATCATTTGGATCAAAGCAGATTGGATTAAAACATTTTGAACATTAAGACTTTTTTTTCTAATGTATGATCTATTATATGCATGCCCTCTGTGAATGAATTATAAATTTCCACTACACCCTGAAAAGTAATGCAAACACAAGAATACTATCTGCATCAATGCACCTCTTTGAAATCAAGAATTGTATAGTAGTACAGCTAACGGTACTGTATTATTAATGTGAAAGATTTAACCAAGTGCTACAGAGCTATAGAGCTCTGGGTTTGAAAAGTATTACTTGAATTTTGAGCTACAACTATGGATGCTTCCAGCTACACTAGTTCACTTATTTTTATCTTTCTCCATCACTGACACTTGCAGTACTTATTTTCTTATGACATATTTCTTTTCTTATAGACCATCGCCTATAATTAAGTGATTCCGGGCAGCTGTGTATGGACCACATTTCTGACTGCAGAACAAAGCTGTCCCTGATTTTCTGACAAGAATATCCCTACCGCACGTAACCGAAACACATACAAGCAATAAAACTTTAAATGCTAAATAAATTTATTTCCATGGTTTTTATTTCACGTCTCTGACTACTTCATCCTACTTCAAAAGCTTGTAAATAATAAAGAGCCAAAATAAAGAAACAGATTAATAGATATGTGCCATAATGTTTATACTACTAGTTCCATTCCACATTCACTATCACTGCTTTTCAAGACTATGGACACACCCATAATAAAAAGGTGTCAGGCAGCAGTGATCAAGTGAAGTGGGATGGTCTCTGGGTATTTGTCTTGTAGATAATAAGACATTATCCACTCTATTTCCTAAAATCAGAAAATAATACCAGATATCCATAATATAGACTCACAGAGAAGTTTAAAAAGTCAATTATGCTGTTACAAAATATCAGGCAAGGGTCAGGAAATAAGCTTAAATGCAAGATAAACGTAAGGATTTCTTCTGTACATCTACTGGCACTGTTCTGGTGACAGTGCAATTAATCAGAGTCAAATTTATTAATAAATCTACTACAGAACACGTCAATACACACTGAAGGCACAAATCAATATGCTCCAGGTGCCTACTGTATGTGCTACAGACCTAATAGCTTTAACAGGTCAAACTCATGTCCTTATACAGTAAATGAATTTCCCTTCCCAAAACATGTATGGCCAAAAGTGAAAATAGAATGCATAATTCTTCATAATTTAAAAATGCATACCTGTGAAAACGTGAAGAACAATTTCATCTGATTCCTCAATATAACAAAAAAAATCAGAATTTCCGCAAGCTTTCTAGAATAATGCTCAGGGCTGATCAGAGCAGGGTCTTCTCACATGGCACAAAGCTTTGAGGAAGAGGAGTGTGAGGATGGTCCTTCTACTCCCTATGTCTCCTCCACCTTCCTGTCGCCTTTCTGGTCTTCCCTGGTCTTGCTCGTCTCTATATTTATGCTGTGCTCTAGGGCTTTTTGAATATTCTAGCATTATTATGGTTCTAAAGCCCTACCATGATTTCAGAATCTGAATTTGATCTTCTGTGTTTACCTGCCTCTACCTACATCTAGGCAAGGCTAATTTTCTCATTGTGAATTGACTAATTCTCATTGTGAATTGATGAATGATAGTACAATGATTGGTGTGAAATTAGCATTTATTTTTAAGCACAGATTTCCCCCCCCAATTTACATGGTCTTACTGGGTAAAACAAAGGAAAAAACATTACTGTGAACGTGTGTTAAAGGAAGTGAAGACCGTTGTAGAATACATTTTAGTGGCAAAGAAGGTGCATGCAAGAATTATGCATCTTCTCTAACATAACTAGAATATTTTTTCCACGTATTTGTCAATTAGAAAGTACTTGTTCAACATTGATTCATCCATCTATCCATTTTTTAGCATTTGTATTCAATTCAGGGTCACTGGGTAACCAGAGCCTATCCCAGCAAGCAATGGGACCAAGGCAGGATACATGGATTGGTTGCGAATCCACTGCAGAGCAGACACACATTTCCATTTAAATGGAGGTCGTATCAAATGGGTCATGTTTCAATAACTAAACTTCATTAAAACTCTTCTGCAGGTAATGTTATCTGGCTGAACAGTTTTCCAACAGGAATTACAGCCCAATTTCAACACTTGATGGCCCAAGAGTGACATGAACATTCTTTGCAGCAACTAATACCATGGACGTACGGTAGATGGTATTTTTTACATTTACAATGAGTTGCTTTAGTATATCATCTCAAGGCCACTTTAAATTATATATTTGAATCATGTACTATAAGTCAAGCCACCATTTAGATGGATGAAAGAGAGATTTTTTTTTTTGTCACTTTTCACCTCTCCAGCACAACATCTTCAAAGTTTTGAGTTGAGAAGCTATGCACAGGATATTTGAGCAAGACAAGTTTAAAGATTACAATAAATTAGAAATACCGGGAACTAATTCAAAATACTGTAACATTATTAATGGAGGATTCTGACTTAGAACCACAATAATAAATGAAATAGAAAAAGTGATGAAAACTGAAAAGTAAGGTCTGACAAAGAGCAGGCTGATTTTATATTGAAGACTGTAAAGATTCAGCTCAGTAAAAAGAGAAATGGGTTATACAGTATATGGTGAAATACAGAACAGTAACATAAAAACACTTGCAAACAAAAGAAAGAGATGGCTCAAAAGTGGGCATATTTTCTTTAACATATTTTGCAGAATGATTATTCAGCTGAAGCACATAACCTTTTCCAATATGCATTATAACCTCTCTGGACAGAATGTGCCATACAATGAGGAAGTAAGCGTAAACACTGAAATCAGTTCTTGAAACTACAATAAGATCTTCGAGTTGTCTTTCCAGAACTTTGTGAGTAAAGTTAAAGTATGAAGTCAGCTTCTCACTTTCTTGTAACAGATAAGACAGGTTTTTTCTAGTACTATTCGTAGATATAAGATGGTCTAGAGAACCTGAAAATATTTTTTCCGCTGGAAGCTAAAATACATTTTAAAAAGTTAATTCAGTACTACAACAGTACACGAAATGTCAAAAATGCAGTAAAATACACCTTGGACAAAAGCTGTGATCAAGCTAAGTGTTGCGTTCAGGTCATTCAGCTGGCCGAAAATGTCTGCTTAGCAGGCTAAAGGGGCCAGCCATTTCAAATCTGAAGAGCTGCCCGCTAGCTGAGAATCTATTTTTGACAAAAAAAAAAACAACATCCTTACATCATCTCTGAGCTTGTAAATGCAGCATTACGTTGTTTAATATGATTGATTTTTCTTCATTTTAATACACTATTCAGGCAACCCCCAGGTTAAGAACCGCTGTTCTAGACAGTGAAAGTAAAATAACTGCAGGTACTAGACAAATATTTTTCAGGTATTCACCGAGGAAGAAGTCAAGAACATGGCTCGGGCAGCAGAACAAAGCTCTGTATTAAATAGTACTAGCATAGAAGGGGGAAGTAATATGGGTAATAGAAGCACTCAGGATTATTATATCCCCAGGGTTCAAAATATTTTACCAATTGTGCTCAAGGAAATGAGACATGTTCAGAGACCTTTGTCGCAAATGTTCTAGCAGCTGTTCACCCCGATACCCTATTTCATTCAAGAAACGGCAGGATGAGATTCTTGGATCATTTATCTACCACCTACAAAACGGACTAGATGGTCTTCCACTCATTTGTAATCTTTGTTCTGATCTTATGAAATATGATACTTTTTCAGGACTGACTCAAATAGAATTTGAAATATATTCCATTCACCTTCAGTAACAACTACTGTATATACTCAGAGGATTTCGGAGAGCCAGCAGCTAACCCGATAGACAATTCTAAACGCGGGTTTAAAACTTGGAAGCCAGTCCATCACGGACGTATTTGCAGACTTTTTTTAAAACATTTTGCACGTATACTAATAAAGGTTGACTGCTTGCTTCTTGGAGTGAAGAAATATCATGCCAAGATGAAGAATATACTGTACAGATCACAGGTTCCCTCAGAACACATATCCGACATCACTTCATCAGCACTACAGTTTGACCGTCATGACTCACGCCAAAATGTTCTACAGAAGTCCTATGAATTATGCGTTTCCTGTTCCTAATAAAGAGAAAAACGAATCCAAAATAAACCAAAGATTGTGCAGTTGAACAGACTGACAGATTAAGCAGAAGCTGGGGGTCATGCAAGTAGTGAAAATGTCATTAAATGTTAACATGGGCATACAAATTCTAATTATAAACACATAAACAGAGCTCATCCGGCATCACATCTGAAAACATTAAACATTTTGTAGGTTTTGTTCCTCCCATACGTCCTTCCCATCTACTGGTAACAGGTCTCCCGATGTGGGCTTCTAACCCTTCCTCTTCAACTCGCCTGAAAAAAATCGCGCCCCATTTACCTGTTCTTCACGAAGCAGGAAGAAATGTGTGGCAGTGGTGATCAGAATCACAACATTCACATCAGCCCCACTTATATGGGGCTGAAGTACCAGCTCAAAGTACTGCCATCTGATAACTATTAACCGGCCATTACTTTCCTGACATCCCCCTCCCCCCTTTCATCTCTCAAAGCTTTGCAGGTTTTTAAAGAAAGCTGGGGTCTTGTCTCATCTGTCTCAATTAGCTTCCTTCACGCAGTTTCCAAAAAAAGAATAAAAGGGGAAAATAATTATTTGTATTATTCAACACCAGAGTGCTCCTGAATTTCAGCACCATTTTATGACAGACCCAACCCTCAATCAAGGAAGACTCACGAGTTCTGCAGTCAAACTTACCCGCGATAACCCAGAAAGGGGAAGTCAAGAAGCCCGTATTGTACGCCTTTCAGCTAATATGAGGTCCCATAGCAGCTTCTAGTGGCAGCCCACCTGTAACTGCAACCCCTTCTCAAACTAGTTCCCCTCAAGTAAACGATATATACAAGTATCTGACCAAAATCCTATCAAATGACAAAAAAAATCACCTGGGAACACCACAAGAAATTTACAAAGATGTAAATAGACGAAAAAGCAAGTACTATAAACTATAATGCAAGTACAGATCCTGTAAGGTCCACAGAGTGTGAAAAGGACAAGGGATACAACGATGTTGATAACATATACAGTATATACATAAATTCATATCAAGTACTATAAACTATAATGCAAGTACAGATCCTGTAAGGTCCACAGAATGTGAAAAGGACAAGGGATACAACGATGTTGATAACATATA